TTGTGTACCACTATATAAACTGTTGAAAAGATCTGAATTGATTTGGAGATATCTTAGTGTGAACAAAAGCACAGTAGCACATGCAAGAAGAGGGGGAAGGGCATTCCAAAAAAAATGGGATCTGTATCCTAGAGAGCAATGATTCTTAAAGGGATTACGAAAGACCTGTGGTTGAACATAACAAGCTGTGTATTGTTCCAAAATAGGTCAATAGTCTTTGGATGAACAAGCAGGAGGTAGCGAGAGGAGAAGGGAGATTATTTTATCTCCATGCAGAATTGATGAGACCAGTACCAGAATGATGCGTGATGATTTCCACACAGTATGGAAATGTGCTATTCACTATGTCAAGCTAAACGATCCGAGGCACACACAAATGCAAGATGTTAATTGTGTATAGAACTCTCTTGGAAAAAAAAAAAACAAAACAGTTGCAGTAACTGCAGCACTTACGAACTTTCACCACCTCCCTGTTAAAGCAACAGCAGAGCGTGAGTTTGTATTTCGCATTTTCAAATTTAGCTAACTAAATATCACCAGGTGTGGAGAGGTGCCTACATCTTCTTTTGGCCTTGGCATCAAGCTATCCTTGTCAAAGAAATGATGCAGTCTTTCTCCCAGCCTCTGCATATGTTCACACTCACAAGCACGTAGAAACAAATTGTTCCAATGGTTGGTTGTGTTTGTTTGCTTTTTTAGTTAGCAGTATTTCTACATATCTTTTTTTTGTATTACTTGTTATAGTTTTGAACATCCTGAAAGGTGTTTTGTGGGTTTTTTACCAGTAAGTTTTCCATCAAGCATATGAAGGATACAGTTTTCAAAAATTACACTTATTATTAAGATTAAACCTGCTGTTCTTCAAAAAAATCTTTGTGTCTTTTTCCTTTTTTTTCCCATGTATAAGTAAGATGTTTGCCAGCTCTTCGCATGATTAGCACATTTCTAAAAATTAGTAGTTTATAGATCTTAAACTATTAAAATGCATTCTTTCATCAAACTTTGATTTGCATTCTTTCAACTTTGTCTTTGCTAAATTGGCCCCAAATATTATGTTAAAATGTCACTTCTGATAATAATAAATGAAAAGGTTAGGTTGGCTAAAGTTTTTAAACACTTTTTCCCTCACTTTTTTTATTAAACAGCTCTCAAATGCACATCATGTTCGTCCTCGGGCACTGCGCAACTTCTAGCTTGAAAAAGCTGCAAATTCCTTTTGAGTTACTACTTTTGATCTTTTTTTTAAATTTCGAAATAAAATTATTCTCTCTTTACTGAATGATATATTGAATACTTAAGATGACAAATGTTTGTTTCCTTAAATTAAAAATTCAATCTTCTGAATCTGTGTGTTAGCTTTAAGCTTTATTCCTGCAGATAAACTTCCTGTGATTTATGATAGTGGACCTGACAGGCCTATTGACTATGTCATCTAAAATGAATGAATAACAGATTTTTTAAATATTTCAGCCACAACAGAATTTCGTTCATTTCTAAGCGTATTGATTGATTCTCCTCCTCATCCACCCCCCCAAAATAACTTTTCTTAGTTACATTTCTTGCTCTTTTTAAAGTCTTAGGAAAGATTACACAGTAAATTTTAGGGACTTTGCTTGTATTTAGTTATTGTTTAGTTTTGCTATGATGGTTCTGTAGTTTCCATAGAATAGTAGTTAGGCATGAGAGATTTCCAGTTGTGCTTATCTCTTCCTGTGATAAAATACAGTGTGGTATCAGTGCTGCCACTTCCACATGTTAAATAAATAAATAAAAGTCATAATACTGACTTCTAAAAGATGCAGTTTTGGAATGCACTTTATTTGACTAGAGAATTCCAGAATTACTTTCTTCTCAAGTTTTTCTCTGTAAATATATTGGATTAGAATCCCTTTTTACTTTTATGAAGATCTTTATAACCACAGAACTGTAGGTCTTAAATTTTAAGAGAACAGACCAAATGCACTGGGCTGTCACTCAGGCTCTGTAAGGTATCAGTTAAAATAGCGTTTATTGGAACTAGCACAGAAAGAAAAAAAAGAGAATAGACGATGTTACTGACTTCAGATGCTGGGAACTCTGAATCGTGCAGCATCAGATGGTCCTGCAGTCAGGGACAGCGTGTGGTGCAGATCCCATCTGTGGAGAGGCTACCCAGCCTTTTCCTCTTTTAAGCTCTTAAAGCATTTTCTTAAAAAGAAACATTTTTATTCATCGTTTCTGCTGTCAGACAGAAATGATGTCCATGAAGACCCACTGCTGCACCGTTACATAAAGTCGGGGCCACAGAGGTGGCATAACCACTGGTGCCAAGCGGGAGCTGCCTGCAGGCCCCTCAGTTGCCATAAGTTGGCTGAGGTTGTCGTGTGTCCAAGGGACATGCAGAGCACAGCACGGACCTGCATCTGCTCAGCTTCGCTGCGATGTGGATTGATAATTCTTCGGTGTGCAGTGATCTTTCAGTCAGAGTAGCTATAAAGGATTGATATCACTGCAACTCTCTGCCTTGGAAAAAGCCTCAATGCCTGTGTAGTCTGAGCCCTTTTCATTCTTCAGTAGGTTGTACAGAGGTGTAGGATGAACAAGCCTGAAACGGATCTTGAAGAACTTGTCTAAGAAACAAGCCCAGTATACCTGCACACAAAAGCTGTACTTTTTCCCAGCTGGACATTAATTCCTCTGTAGGAAAGTTCATGTTCATCTGATAAACTGAGAGCAGACGACTTGGCCCAGGAGATAGACTGCCATTTGTCTGACAGCTTGCAATTTTTGTGCTTTGACAAAGACCAGAGCTCTCACACTATACATATGACAGCAATTTCAACAGCCATGGTTTTCTGTATGAAATAAGACTACTTTGACTGTTCCTTCACCAAATCGTTACTGTTTTCCAGTGTCTTGCCAGCTTTGTAGCTGCATGTGTCCTTCTGAGATGCTAGCTACGATGCCAGTTACCTTTATTCCTCTACAGTGTATCTTTTGAAGCATTTTGTCTAGCAGTTCCTCCTCTGATTTTTTTTCAAGGCCTTTTACGTCAATCTGAAGAGCTGAAAGGGTCAAAGGATTCGAGCTACAATACTTTAGGAATCTACTAAAATTTGCAAATTCTGTTATTAAAAGGATGACATTTCTGTTCCTTTGACAGGAACTGAAAAATTTCTTTGCAATGTTAAGCACTCAGAAACAATAGCAAGATACAATTGGAAAAAAGGTTTATTTAAGAGGGCATTTTGGAAAAAAAAGCTTCATAATGTGGTGTGGCTGTTCCAGCAGAGCTGCCTGCTTGCTCGTTTCCAGATCTGCTTGTTGCTTACTGGAGTCTTGCGTTGCAATACACAACATCGGAGTCTGCATTCTGAAATGTGTGGCTGCGCCGCTCTAATCTATCCACTCTCGTTTGAAATCTGAGGTGAAATTTTCAGTCTAGTTTGTGTATTCTTATGGAACACTAACAGATTGTCTATTCCACTTGGAAATTTCTTGGTCTTTGTCAAACTACGTCCAGTTCTGGATTTAAGACTGCCTTTTGTTTTCTTGTTTCTTTTTGGAAAACTGATTTCACAAGTAGAATGACTTACACTGTAAAAAATCAGTCGTGCTACTTTTACGTAACACTGAATTCAGAATGTGACCTCCTGTGGAATGCAGCCATCAGAGAAGATTTATTTTTGGTGATTCTGAACAGCAGTTCTTTCTATTTCTTGTTTCAAGCAGATCTGCAAGCAAATTACAGTAACGGCAGAGATTCAGATGGCAGATCAATTCTGTCCGATGGGTGCTGTGAAAATTATTCTTCCAAACAGTGATTCAGGTTCTGTCAGAACTACTGCCATCAACAAGTCAACAGTAGTCTGAAAATAGCTTATCTAGAAATAGAATACTTTGTAGTTTCAGAAAAGATAACTTCCTTATAAGGTGCGGGACTGTAATTTTAAGGAAGTGTCTTTGGCAAAGGTGCTGTATATTAAGAACTAAGATAATTATTCTAGTGAGAATGTATTATTCCTGTTTTAACATTAATTTTGATGTCGTAATCCATTTCCAGAAAGTATCCAGAGAAAATATTTTAAAGGAATTTAGCTTCAACCATACATATTTTTGTTGGTGTAGAAGACATAGGAAAGCAAAGACTTTTTTAATGATTGAATGTGTTCTTATGTAGTCTAACTCAAGAGCACTTGACAGAAGGATTTTTATTTATATTATGGATAGGCCATGTTAATAATTTTATAGTCTTCATATCTCATCTTTATTTCTAGAGTTCATAAAATTGCATATCTGTGAATCATAGAATTACAGACTGTTAGGGATTGGAAGGGACCTCAAAGGATCATCTAGTCCAATCCCCCTGCCGGAGCAGGACCACTTAGATCAGATCACACAAGACATAACAACTCTGTATTGCATCAATTTATGAATACTGCCAATATAGTCAATGGAATTGTTGTCTAGAGATCTTTGGGCGTTTTACCGTGACCCTTATGCTAGTAATACATATAGGGTAGTGACTGAACTCCAGCATGAGTGAAAACCTTACAGTGGCACAGAAATAAATCTTTTGTCAGGCTGCTGGAAGTAAGTAGGCTCTTGCATTAGACTTGAACACCAGCAGTGATGTCCCATGGATAGTCACTCCTTGCTACTGTAGATAAGTAAATCAAAAGTGACAAAGAGTGAACGTTAGGGAGCATAAACTGGAAGAATAGTCTGGATTCTATTGAGTTTTGAGGGAATTGGAGCCTAGTAAGAAAAAGGGTCTGTTTTATGAAATACCAACATACAGTTGTTATTGACTGTCTGTAAACCATAATGTCCCAGGTTGTGATAGATTCCATGCTTAAGTGGTCAGTCAATATTTTTTAAACTAGCCTGAGCATTTTAGTATATATGATTTCCTACTCAAGAGCCAAATTCTAAATATTTTCCATTTCATTTTTCTTTGCCAGTATTTCATATACAGCTGCATATTAGGACTTATTTCCTGTTCTGTTTTCCTGAGGATAAATTATGAGTTGAAAATGATGATAATGTTGATTGCATTGGTGGGCTACAATGTTATCCTTCTGCACACCCATGGGCCCATGCTGGATGACTACAGCAAATTTATGTACGCAACGGCACCTCTTAGAAGGTAGGTGGATTTCCTTCTGAAATTAATAGAAATTAAATACTACCTGTGGCAGTTCTTATGTCATGGAACAGATTTTCTTTCTATATGTTTGGCTATATAATCTAAAAGTAACAATTTAAAATGTCAGTGCTATGTCAATGACCAGCTGGAGTGCATGGAGCTCTGCCTGGGAATGGATGAGAACCTGACCAAGAGCTTACGGTCAGAATTAATGGGAGGGCAGGGACAGGGGACATAGTAGTGAGGGTCTGCTAGAGGCCACTCGACCAGGAAGACTGAGTGGGTGAGGCCCTCTATAGACAGATAGGAGCAGCCTCATATTCACAAGCTCTGGTCCTCATGGGGGAATTCAGCCACCCCGATATTTGTTGGAGGGGCAACGCAACAGGGCATAAGCAATCCAGGAGGTTCCTGGAATGCATTAATGATAACTTCCTTCGCCAAGTGATAAGAGGAACTGTCCCAGTTTTAGCTGGGACAGAGTTTTTTTTAACAGCCAGAAGAGCTCCCTGTTTTGGTTTCACTCAGAGGCTCACTCTGAGAAGAATGTTGATAGCAAGCTGATGTTTGTGGTTGGAAGTGAAACTCCAAGGACTTTTCAGTGTGCGGAGTACAGAAACACGGCAGGATAAGGGGGGAGCATAGCTGGGACAAGGGGGACACGATTCCCCTTG